GTCTGTGTGTGTGTGTGTTTTTGTTGTTTTGTTTTCATGGTAAAATCAATCAACACAGATGGATCCTTTTTTCTTTACCATTTTGACCTGACAGAACTGATTTTCTCATTTACAATGATCATTTCCATTGTTTTTTTTTATATCATATAACCACACACATGTGTTGGTTATTTTAATTCTTCAAAAACTTGCCATTGTTTTGTTTTTGTTTTAATATTGTTGTTGATCGACTTAATTCATCATCATCATCATCATCATTGCTTTTTTTTTTGGTTCAAAATTCAAGTTTTTTTTCCACCATTTTTCCAAATTACCATTCGGTCTAACGATTTGATATGATGATTGTGTAAAACTAAACTGTGTGTGTGTGTGGGTGAATTCAAGTGAATTTAGTCTTTGTGGATCTTGTAGTATTATCGTCGTTTATAGTATCATTGTCATTGTAAATTGAGAAATGGAAAATTTTTTTTTTCGTTCATTTTATTATATAACCCTTATGTTTAATCATGCGTATTCTGTATTCACAAACGAAAATATAATCTCCATGCTCTATATATATACGAGATACACACGCACACCAATTTGTATTTCAATGACCAAAAAAAAAAAAAATCCAATTCTCTAATCCAGATCAAGTTCATGTTCACAGTGAGAGACAGAAAAAAAAATCAGCAAGGTTAATATAATAATCATTACATTTGAAAATTCAGTGTTTTTCTTTTTTCTTTTCGAATTGAACCATTTGCAATAATTTTCAAATTTTCAAATTTTAATTTTGCAAGATTTTAGTAAACCTATAGTCATTGTCTGCGTTGAATTGACTACGAATAAAGAAAGAAAAATAGACAAAACAAAACAAAACAAAAACGTTCAATTTACATAATTGGCCATGAAATACGATCATCATCATCATCATTTTGATTCATGTGTTTGTTTTGTTTTGTTTTTTTTTTTCCCATTGCAGCAAATCCATTTTGGTAACAACAACAACAACAACAACAACAATCAAACTTTGACACTGAACTACTACTACTACTAGCTTACATCATCATTATTATTATAATATAATTTATGTTTGAATTTAATTTTTTTTTTTTTTTTTGAATATTTTCATTGAATAATGATGATGAAGACAATATAGACGAGATAGAAGAGAATGAAAAAAATGTCGCATGTAAAAATGATTATGGTGACCATATATATTCCATTCATTCATTTTATTTTTTTTTTTTTTAATATGCAGAAATGAAATGAAATGAAATATTCAATGATGTGATGACCTCGAACACCTTGTGATTGTTGATTGACAAAACAAAACAAAAAATAAACAATGAATTGACATCATCATCATCATATTATGTTATGAATATGTTTATGAAACTTTGTTTTTTTTTTTTTGGCTGACTACTGTCAACCATCATCATCATCATCATCATATCATCTTATGTTTACTTTTGTTTTTATTTGGTATAAACATGTCGAAACATTACTATTTTTATCTGAAACTTTGCAAAACAAAAACAAAACAGAAGCAAATATGATGATGATGATGATGATTATTTTATTATAAAAGGTCAATTTGGCCAAGTTGATTGTAAGATGTTGTTTGTTTTGTTTTGTTTTGTGTTCGATTTTTATATTTATGTGTGCAAATATATACAACAACATATATGACAAAGTGTCGAAACATTCATAGATGATAGAACAAAACAAAACACGGTTAAATTTTCGTACAATTTTTCAACAAAAATTCGTGCAAGTAGATCTTTTTTTTCCATTTTCATTAATTTTTTTTTTTTTTAATCATCTAGAGATCTGATCTAATCTTTTTTTTTTTTTGTTTTGTTTGATTGAATGACAACAAGATGAGTTTGTTCATGTTTACAATGTCAACAATGATTGTGGACAGAAGAAATTTGGGTTGCACTTGACTTTAATGTTTTATTTTTCCCATCAACTTTGACTGAAATTGTAGATTTTTAAAATTGATTATTTTTAGCCTGAATCGTGAATTTTGTATCCAATTTTCAAGTTTTCACATATGAGATCCTTATGAATCAAATGAAAAATCGACCTTGTTAATGGATATCGATGCCTTGAATTGTAAAATGAAATGAATTCGATTCGTTTCATGATCCGAATCGAAGTAAATTTTGTTTTGGCCTGATACTTGTTTTGTTTTGTTTTTTTCAATTAACTTTTTGGCCTTTTTTTCTCTCTTTTGATCTATCTCTCTACCTTGGAATGAATCATTTATTTAGTGACGGCCAAATGATGATCATGATCATTTTCTCTGGATTCAATCATGAATTACTTAATCATGATCATCAATGAATGAATTTGTTCAAAATGTGTATCATACAGATTGGATTTTCATGATCCGATCTACACAACACATACAATTCGCTTTCATTTCATTTTTTTATTTTTTTTTTTTTTTTTGATCACGACCTAAAATTGACTAGATATTCAGGTGTTGTTATAATCGTGATGATGATCTATTAATCAATTTCATTCAAAATAATGGTCAAAATTTGTTGATTATTGTCATCATTGGATAATTGATCATTGTTGTTGTTGTTGATCATCATCATGTTTTATTTTTTTCACATCTTGCCATAACATCATCATCATATGTGTGAGTACATTACGTGATGATGGACATTAACAAAGAAAACAGGAAAAGGTGTTTGTCTGTGTAGGGGAAAAAACAACAACAACCGGAAATGTTATTCAATTTTTTTTTATTTATTTATTTATCATCACTAAAGAAATGGAAAACACCATTAACCGTAAACACACAACGATGACGATAAATGGATGAAAAATTCACATCTTTTTTCTTCAAAATAATTTGAAATGAAAGTGTCATCTTCATCATCATCATCATCATCATTTTCGTGTTTGGATTGATCTAAATTTTTCATCATCATCATCATCATCATCATTTTAGCTTTTAGTTTATTTATTTATTTCATTTTGACTCGAAAAATGGATGAAATTTTCTCGTTTGCTTCTTTGAAATTTTCTATTCTGTGTTGTATTCAAATGCAAATTGAATGGATATGAATGAATGAATTTTAAATTGGCGATTGTGAGGCAAAAAAAAAAAAAATTTCTTTACTTTATCATCATCATCATCATCATATTCATCTTTTTTTCGCCAACAACAGCATTATATTATGAATGAATGGAAAAAAAAATCCATTCAATCCATCATCATTCACAAACAAAGAAAAAAAAATGATGTTGGATAAGATTTTCTTTCCACTTTTTTTTTTTGGATCGTATGGTCCATACTATAGGGAATTATCTGTGTGTGTTTGTGTGTGCCGAGTGTTGCATTGAAACGGGCATTCATTCGGTTTTTTTTTCTCCATTCAAAATATTTAAATTGCTTCCAGTGTTGTTTTCCATTTTTTTACGCAAAAATTTTGTAATTTATTCATTCAAAAATTTCTCCTTTTTTTCTCATTTATCACAGATTATCATCTCCAATCATCTCCGATTTTTTTTGCGTGTGTGTGTCCATCAGATGACTGTGGAATTTGAGAAAAAAATAAACTTTCAACGTATGAAACCAACGGAGAGGAAAAAATTGTTTTGCCATTTTTTTTTCTTGGTGACATTTTTTCATTCATTCATTCATTTCCATTTAGTCATATTATAATAATAATCATCATCATCATAATTTTTTCTTTTGGCGACAAAAAAAAACTCTACCAATTCATTCATATATCTCTTTGTCTCTGACTCTCTTTCTTTCTTCTCGTTTCTCTTCTTCAATTAAAACACACTTTGATGATAATAACCATCTTCATAATGACGATGATGATAATGGTTATGATGAAGCCACAAATTTGTCTCTATCTCAATCATCATCATCATCATCATCATCAACAACAGAGTCCATAACATCCAAAAAAGAAAACAAAAATTTTTCAACTTGTTTCATTCACATATATATCTATTCACACACACATCTTTGCTATATGGCAATTAACAACAACAACAACAAAACTTGTTCGTGTTTTTTATTTCAAAAAAAAAAAAAAATTTTGTTTTCCAACAACTTGCCATAACAAATCATCATCGACAACAACAACAACAACAACAAAGAGACAATAATCATAGGGCATCATCATTTTTTTTATTGTTTGTTCCAATAATTGGAACTTGAGACGACGACGAAAACAAAACAAAAAAAACGAGGTGTGTTAGTGTTCCAGCAGTCTATTGTTTTCATCGATAATTTCAATTTCACCATTTTTCTTGTCCATTTCAAAAATATAAGATGAGATCACAATCAACGACAACAAAAGTGTAAAGATCTGGAACATTTTTGAACATCATATGCTTTTATTTTCGATAGAAACAAATAGACTTTTTGGTCATATTTTTCCCTTCAACAAATTGTTATCACATCACTTATCATCATCATTTTTCATGTTTTCAGATTGTTTTCAATTTCAATTTTTGTTGTTGTTGTTTTTGACGCCCATCCTCTTGATGATAATGATGATGGCCAAAATCTAATACCACGATTTATATCCCACCTACACACACGCGCGAAAAAAATATTCAATCATCATACAGTAGCATTTGATTTTTTTTTTTTTTGAACATCAAATCATCGAATTATTGATCTAGATTATATATAATTAATTGATTGGAAAAAAATAAGAAACGCACACACTCATCATCATCATCATCATCATCAAACATCATGTCATCACATATTCATAGTTTAGCATCATCAACAATAAATACAATACAGACTTTTGTACAAAATCAACAACAACAACTTAATAGTAATCATCATCTATTACATCATCATTTGATTAGTGATAATAATAATGGTATAAGTGGCGGTGGTGGCACTGGTGGTGTTGGTATTGGTGTCGGCAACCATCATATTCATCATCATCCACATTTACAGCATAATCATCATCATCATCATATGAATCCACATTTAATACATCATAATGTTGTTGATCCAAATATTTCATCCACAGAATTTCAATCAAATCAATGGTTTGTTTTTTGTTTTTTTTGGTTCATTAAAATTCTAATTACTCATAATTTTCATTTTGACAATTTAGGATGTATACATTAATGGATTCATCACGTGTATCAACATTTTTAATACCAATGTTATTGATTGTTTATGGTAGTTTTCGTTCATTAAATATGGAACAGGAAGCTAAACAAAAAGAAAAAGAAAGAGAAAAAGATGGTCTATTACCATCAACATCATCATCATCGTCGTCATCGGGTGATAATAATAGTAAGTAATCATGTCATCAAACTAAATCGTGATCATTTATTCTTATTGAATTCAATTTTTCCACAACAACGCTATATTTTTGTTTACTTGGAATCGGAATTGCGTAAAAAAGATGTACAAACATTGGATACAATGCAAGCATTATGTCTTCCATTAGGTGCATCCATCTCATTATTAGTAATGTTTTTCTTTTTTGATTCAATGCAAATGTTATTTGCAATATGTACGGCAAGTAAGTATGATGAATATGGATGATGATGATCTTGTGATCCTTCATATTAATCGATTCTTTTTTCTTTTCTCACTGAAAAATAGTCATCGCAGCCATTGCATTAGCATTTTTGTTATTGCCAATGTGTCAATATATTATGAAACCTTGTACGGAAAAAAAGAAGTAAATATAAATCAAATTTTTGATTTGATTCAATTTTTTTTCATTCATTCTTTTTTTTTTTTTTGTATCCATTAGGATCTCGTTAGGTATTTGTGGCCGTTTTACGCCGGCCGAACTAGTCTCATTTTCATTATCGGTTACAATTGTTTGTATTTGGGTGTTGACTGGCCATTGGTTATTGATGGATGCAATGGGCATGGGACTTTGTGTTGCATTCATTGCATTTGTACGTTTACCTAGCCTCAAAGTATCAACATTATTATTGACCGGTTTACTTATCTATGATGTATTCTGGGTATTTTTTTCATCATATATATTCAGTTCAAATGTTATGGTATATGTTTTGTTTGATTTATTTGTTTTTCTGTTGTTAAATTTTTATTTTTTATTTTCATATATACAAGGTTCGTGTGGCAACAAAAACAGCAGAAAATCCTGTCGGTATTGTATCGAAACGTTTTCATTTGAATGGTGGAAAAGATGTGCCGAAATTATCATTACCTGGAAAGCTAATATTTCCATCATTACAGAATAGTGGACATTTTTCTATGCTTGGTCTTGGTGATATTGTTATGCCCGGTTTATTACTTTGTTTTGTATTACGTTATGATGCATATAAACGTACATTATTGAATTCAGCCGATGCTGGTGTACCGCCACCAAAACATTTGAATCGATTCACTTATTTTCATTGTTCATTGATTGGCTATTTTTTTGGTAATGTTTAAATTTTCAATGAAACATCTTAATAATTATATAGATCATCATTTTCAATAAATATAGGTCTATTGACAGCCACCGTATCATCGGAAGTGTTCAAAGCAGCTCAACCAGCACTACTATATCTTGTACCATTCACTCTATTACCATTGCTTACAATGGCCTATCTAAAAGTATGAGTTAAAAGTTTTTGTTTTTTAAATTTCTTAATTTTCTTTTTAATTTCTCATTACATCAAACAAACCAGGGAGATTTACGACGAATGTGGAGCGAACCATTTATTACGACAAGTTTGCCCAAAAATCTTGATGTATGAAATATATCTAATATATCAAGACCGATAATCAATTTGATACGAACGATAAGAATGTTGCCCACATGTCACATACACACACACTGGACATTCTTTTAACCGGATGAATTTCGAAGAAAAAACGAAAAAATACATGCCGCACAGTTGAAATTTAACTGCCAGAAATTCAACTTAATTCATTTTTTTCTGGCACTTCAAAATCAATTACCGGAAGTTATAGCAGCCGTGTTTATATTCTAAATGAAACCAAAATTCCATTCAAATTCCTAATTCTCTAACTATCTATCTCTATATCTATCTTTATCACTTACAACAACCTCCAACGCACACAGACACACACACAACGAAATAAATCCCATCTTTCTCTATTTCACACTTTCCAAAAACCCACCCACCCACCAATCAAACACTTTATCTCTTTTTCTTACTTGTAATGACGATTCTATATAATTTTGGAATTTTAAATGTGATTTTATTCCTTTCCCACAAACACACACACACCCACACCCATTTATTCTGTTTCGTTATATTTTTTTTTGTTGTTGCAAATAGTTTACATTCACTTACTCACTAGATTATTACTGATCATCATAATTTCATTCCATTTGTGAATATAAATACATATGATAATTATATTTTGATATAAAGAAAAAGATTTGATTTCAACAACAACAACAACAAAAAAATTCAATTAATGATCTTGATCCATATTACACACCATTATTGATTTGATTTGATTCTGTAATACAAACAAACACACACACACACACACACGCATCTTATGTAAATTCATTCATACATCATCATCGACCATTTTCCATTTGTAAACAATAACATATGTGACAACGAAATCATATCATTTTGATTTGTAATAAAATGAAAAATTTATATTCAATGAAACAAAACAGAAAAAATAAAATATAAATATTGTGATCCCATTTTTTTTTTTTTTTTTTTTTTGGTTTCTTTTCATAATGATTCTCGAAATAAATGGGTAGTTGCAAAAAGACATTACAACATTGTGTAAAATTAATTGCTTGTGTTAGTAGTGGATTCAAATACAAATGTACTAAATGTATCAGGTGCTCTACATTTATTATTTATTTTGCCATACAAATTTTTTTATAAAACAATGTAATCAATGGTAAATTCATCATGAACAATTGGACAACTTGAAATTTAGTTATGAAAAATAGTTGACCACAATGAAAACCGAAATGATTATTGGACATTGTTTGTATGAATAGATTTGATTTTATCATCAAATTTATATGGCGATTATGATACTTTACAATCGATTTTCTTGCCATCTGATTTAATAATAATCGACAATAATGATGATTGTATTTAGGTGGAAAAGTTAAGCGTGTAAATATTACGGTTGCAATGAAGTATGCTGATAACATTCCCAATATGGCCAGTGTGTTTGTAGGGGTCATTTCAATTTGACGGCTATAGAATACGCACGTTGTTATGGATAATATTTTTGAGGCTGTTTCAAAACTGAACATTGCCAAGCTTACTGTTTTATCCAACAATGCTACATCCGAATAAATTTCAACATATTCTTTTTGTATGCTAATCTCAAAATATTTTATTTTTGAAATATTTTTTGATAATTCATCTTTCTTCAAGAATATATAGACTTGTTTCATTCGTGTTTTAAGAAATTCAAGAATAAAACCAGATGCTACTGTGCCAACTAATAATGTGAAACTTATGATACCAACTTGAAAACAATACAACAGAAAAAAGATTATGCCAAATAAAAGCTCAAGTAATGTTATCTGATTGTGGAAATAGGTTTTTGTAATGAAATAAATTTCTATAACATATGTGATAATAAGACCAATAATAACACCAACACCAGATAAATAAGCTGCAATTTTTATTAATAAATAGTAGATAATCAAATGACGACGATAATTTGTTGCTATTTGTTTTTCGTCAAAAATTAAAGTTTTATATGCTATACTTTGTATTGGTGATTTATAGGTGATTATCTGAATGAAAAAATAGAACCAAGTCCATTCACTAATACAAAATAAAATAGTGATTGCTATGATCAATAGATCTAATCGTTTACAATCGATAATTTTCTCCAAATATTTGATACTTATCCATAATGAGTTGTCTACAGAGCAAATATATATTACTAAAACAATAATAACCAACCAAGCATTGAAAGATGTTAAAATTGCTTGTCTAAGTCTTCGATATGTTCTCGGTATCCGTTGTCGTTGATATTCTTCACACGAATATTGGATTTGCAGAACAAAAAATTGAAAATAACGAAATCCATGATAAACAATCTCTGATATTTTCGGTTCGGTATTCAAGTAAATCAAATGGGCTATTTCCAATTTAACAAAGATGACAATATTTTCGATTAACATACGTAAACGATCCATGATCACTGACGAGACAAAAGTATGGTTTGTTCACCATTTGAGTTGTGTTGATCGACAGAATAAAATGGTTGAGTTTAAATATTCTAAATTTCCACAAATTTAAATCATTTTCATTTTTAGTTCAAGAAATTTGTTCAAATTTAGACAAAAAGTATCGAAATTCCAGAAAGCAATATCGATTGATCAGTAAAAAAAACTTTTTCGTCGTCTTGACAAAATATTAACGCTCTATCATCATAAATTATAAGAATGTCTCATTGCATTCTCATTTGGAATGGAATATTTTTTTTTGCCTAAAAATTTTTTCATTCAAATGAATCATTTATTTGTATGCAAAAACAGAATAAATTTTTTTCTCTTGAAATTCACGAAATCGATCACTATTAACAATGTTATTGTCAATTAGGAACTTTTAATTTCCCCTCTCTCTCTCTCAAAAAAAATTGTTTGAATTTGAATAAAAAAGTTTCGATTTTCAGCAATCGATATCGATTGATTAAAATTTTTTTTTTCAATTTCTTGATGATATATCTTAAATTATCGATATATGATTTTCAAATTCAAAAGAAAAAATCAGTTTTCACTTGATAGCCAAATTTTTTCAAATAAATCATTTTTTTTGAATTAAATTTTTTTTGTTATGTCCAAAATTTCATTTCATGCCCCGTATAAAATTCTCTTTGGTTTTTTTTCTAATATTCTCATTTTCAATCCCTATCATCATCATCATCGGGGATAAAAAAAAGCGAAATTTTGAAATCAAACGTCTTGTTTATAGAAATTTCACTAACAAAACACCTGGATAACAGACATAAAAAAAAACCTAGAAACAAAATGGAAAAAAATGCTCATAATTTATTTGCGTCAGATATAATGAATTAATGGGGAAAAAACAAAACACGGAACTAACCTGATCATCATCAGCATTAAAAGGTGGTGGTGGTGGTGGTGGTGACCACATCATTTGATCAACAATGACGTAAATTGTGATTTGATTTATATCAGAACGAAAAAACAATCGTTTTGTTTCGACAATTGAACAAAAATATTTTTATATTCGGTTGCCAACAACAAAATCGGCGTCATTTGATGACGATGATGATGATCATCGTGATGATAATCAAATGCCAATGATAAATTTGTAATGGTTCATCATCATCATCAACATCAACAGTGAACCAGCATCACCTGTTGTATGTTGAATTTTGATTTGAAAATTTAATTTTTTTTATGATCGTCGAGGTCGTTGTCGTCAATCGTCACAAAAAAAAATGTTTTCGTTTTTTTTTGTTTTGCTCCAAATGTGATGACGTAAATTGATTTTTCCATGTGTACGTAATTTAATTAATTGAATTATCAATCAATCAATCAATCAATTGGACAACAGAATTTTGTTTATCTTTCTCTTAATTTACTATGACCATCATTTGAAACGAATCGTAATATTTCTTGTTTTCCATTGGTGTGTGTGTGTGTGTGTGTGACAAATTGATCCATAACGATTGACGACTATTTTCATCATCAGTTTCTATTTCAATGCCATTGGTAACGTTTTTTTTTTTTGATTTAAATCTAGGAATTGGATTGATAAACAAAATTTTTTTTACATCAAGAGAAAGAAAAAACTACCTGGGTATATAATGACCATCTACCTGTGGTTTTGATTTCAGTTTGATTATCATCATCAAAACGCAGCTGATCTAATCGATCGAACCCGTTATAATTCGAATTCGAATGTGTTAACGTTCTAATTTTGGAATCTTTTGTTGTTTTTATTATTTATAAAAATTTCGGTAAGTTTTTTGTCTTGAATTTTGAAAATAATTTTTCTAATAACAAAAATGGATTCATTTTTTTCAGTCGAATCAAATTGAAAATGACAAAATTAACATTGAAAACATTGGCCACGATAACGAAAAAACCATCGGTCGATGAATTGGATCGTGTATCATTAGTGGAAAATATTTCATTAACAAATACCATACATGATCTTCTCAATGAATTGAATCAATATGGTACAATGGTTAATGAATGTTCGAAGAAAAAATATTTGCTTGTAAAACAGCTACAAAATGAAATTGATCACATTCATGGTAAAAGAATTTTTACCATACAATTTTTCGTTAATTTTTTTTCCATTTTTTTCAATCATAGAATTGGGTAAAATTCCAGTATTAAGTGAATATTTTCAACTATTATTCAATCTGGAATCATGTCAACAACGAATTGAACAACATGAATTAGATATATCGGATATTGTAACCGAAATGTGTATGACAAAACATATAATTATCAATATGGTACAAATTGATCAACAAACACGATTACTAGCCAATAGTAAACAACATTCATCATCGACATCATCATTGGTATTATTGAATTGGAAGAAAAATATGGTGAAAAAAATTAATAACCAAACTAAACGACGAAATTCAATCATTGATGATGATGATGATGATGAATCCAACAACATTATAGCAAAATCGAATGGTTCATCAAAGATATTGAAAAATTTATTCAAATTTCTACGAAATTCACCAAAAACATACAACAAGAATCATCGAAATTGTTCGATACGTTCCATACATAAATCATCATTGATCGATGATGATGATAATAATACTGCATTCAACGATCCAACGTTTGAAACGATTGAACGTTTGAAAATGAAATTGAAATTTTTAAGCAAACATCGACAATCGAATGAACAATGTTTTCGGTGAGTATTTTGATTTGATTTTTTCTGGTTATTAATAATTATTGGTTGTTATCGATCTCGTAGACAACTTATACAAGATTGTTTATCATTGAAACAAGAACTAAAACAATATTATCAACAACATTATAAAGAATTAACCGAAAATCAACAAAATCTGAATCAATATTTTCGTTATCGATTACGTACAAATGAATTACAATCACAGATTGTTACAATGGATCAATCAATTAATGATTATCGACAACAATATCGTAATACAATGGATCGTATACAAACATTAAGCAATACGATACATAAAAATCGTAATAATAAAGATGGCTATATATGCGATATCCAATCATAAGATGGCGACACCATTGGATGTTTTTCTTTTTCTAATTTTTTTTAAAATTTATGGCGGCAAAACGACAACAACCACCATTATAATCGGATTCTTTTTCACATTTATGATTTGAAATGAAGACAAGGAAAAAATTCACATTTTTTTTTCGTTCAATCAACAACAACACTACCTCTTTAGTTTTGCAATGGATGCAATGATCTTGAACTTGTGAATGGTATTGAATTAGACGTGTATTGAAAAATGAAAATGAAAAAAAAGAAATAATTAATTCGTTTGTGTTTATGTTTAGCAAATGAATGGTGATTATTTTATTTTTCTTTCTCAGTGCCTGTGTTTGTGTGTGTGCGTGTGTGTTTATCTAATATATATTTTTGTATTATATAATAGAATAAATACCGAAAATGTTATTATTGTTAATAAATGTAATTTTGGCATCGTTGATGAATTCATTATTGATGAATATCGATTATTACTATTAGCCATTATCATTGATTTATGATCCATTGATGTATGTCTACCTATACGATTGGATTGTTGTTGTTGTTGTTGTTGTTGTTGTTCGAGATCCTGTGATGATGATGATGATGATTGTTGTTGTTGTTTTTTCTTCAAATGTGGATTATGTTGTCCATATAGACACATATTGGCACAATGATCACAACGACAAGCCGATAGACCGGGTGGTGCCTCGTCACATGCATATGCAGTTTCATTCATTATATAACGTGGCCATTCTTCATTCATAACGGATTTTGGTTGCTGATCCGAAATAATGATTGGTCTAAATTGAAATGGAATCTCTTGTAATGAGCCTAGATGTTCAAGAAAATCTTTAGCCGTACAACGTTGTCTGGTTAGATTACCACATGCTGAATCAAAATCCATTAGATAGGCACCGAAAACTTGTACATCATGACATGATTGATAGAATTTTTCGGCAAATAATTCCGATAATACATATGATACTTCTAGTACCATTTCACCTTTTAAACGATTAACTTTAACAAAATCACGTTGATTCGGTGCACAGAATAGATTGCAGAATAATTTCTTCACATTGGTTAAACATGATGGACATGAACGTTGTATAAGATCTACGCTCATTATCAGTTTGGCCATTGTATCTTCCATTTCTACCGTACAACATAATGGATGGCGTAAATTTTCTAGATTTTTTTTGTGTGTGGGCGTGTGTGTTTGTTCAAAGTAGAAAAAAAGTAAAAAAAAAATCAAAATAAATAAACCAAAATCCAATAATTGTATGTTTGTTTCTATTTCAATTTTTGTTGTTGTTTTTTTTGTCCACTGTAATCGGGTCAACACACACACAAAGAAAATCGATGACAACGGACTAATTGACATTGAAATTTTTCTGTTTCTCTTGCTTCAGTGAAAAAAAAATTAGAGAAGATATCAAATGAAACGAAAATCGATCATTTTGACCTGTATTTAACATAACAATAATTTTCAAATCTTATTGTGACAATCAGATTGAAAATTTTGCTGCTGCTACTGCTACTGTTACTGCCTATCAGTCAAATTTTGTCCTTGATTATGGATGATGAAAAAAAAACTAATCTGATAATCGCCATCTGATTTTTTTTCCTCCCACGCATATATTGCTAATGTAAATGTATCATACCTTCTTCATCGAAAAAATGTGGACAACTAGTCAGTAATAGATCGTAAAAATTTTCCGTATCAATATCGGCAAGATCAAAATAATTTGGTTCATGTGGCCGATAACAGTATCCCATTTGTTTATGGCCACAAACATCACCAATAAGACAGGTACGATTTGACCATTCATCATTGTTGATCATCTCGATCGATGGTTTCATCGTTGTTGTCGTAGTCGTTGTTGTTGTTGTTGTTCTACTTTTAGATTTCTTTCGATTTGGTCGTCTATGGTTATTTTGTTGATGATTACTGGAATTTTGATGTGTTGAATTGTGGTTGTTCCTAGTGTTATTGGTATTTAATTTCTTTTTCTTTTTCTTATTCGATGTTTCGGTCATTTCAATTGTTCTTGTTGTCGTTGTCATCGGCTTTTCAGTCGTGGTCGTTGTAGTTGTAGTCGAAGTAGTCGTTGTTGTCGACGATGATGATGATGATTTTTCATTCGATTTCAATGGAACAATAATAATTGATGCATTGGCATCTTGATCTTGACCAGAATCATCATCATCATCATTTGTATCTTCGTTTCCATCATCTCCGTCATCATCATCATTATCATCTATGATTGTTTCGGATTCAAATTTTTCTTCAATTTTTGTTGTTGTTATTTTTGGCAAATTTTCAATAGTTGATCCTTGTGATGATGATGATAATGATGACCTTGTCATCATTGATGATTTTTCTGTTGAAGAATAATCTGAAAAGATTGAATTTAATGTGATAATTCACAGGTGAAACAAATGAAAAAAAAATTCACTTACTACGAGCCATTGATTCATCCAAATTTTCACCATCACCACCACCACACCACCACCACCATCATCATCATCATCATCATCATCATCATTATCATTGAGAGGTATTTCATCATTATTCCTAATCATCGATGATGATGATGACGATGACGATTGTTTATTAAACATTGTCGTTGTTGTTGTCGTAGCTGACGATGACACTTGTTCATCACCATCAATATTGATACAATGAATTGTTTTAAATGATAAAAACAATAAAATAATCATCATCATCAATAAAATCATTGGCATAGATGATTTGTGGACAAAATTTAAATGATAATGATGTTTATGAAATTTCATTTTTAACAATAACGATGATGATCGTTTTGTATTGTGGCATTGATGATTATGATTATGTGATTGATGAATATGATCCATTTGAATATCATCATCATTATCATCATATGACAATAATAATGATTTATCTGATCAATAAATGACATTTTACGTGGTTTTTGTTGCTGTTGATGTGATGATGAGGTCTTTATCATTGATGTTGGATTAATGTCCCCAAATTGATTAAGATGATGATGATGATGAATATATGATCGATGAATTGTTGGCAATAATTTGGTCAAATTTTTACCATTATCATCGATAATGTTGGATGTTAATTTCCGCATTATATTCTTTTTTTTGTCACCTGTTTTTGTGTGTGTGTGTGTGTGTAATATTCGCTATTACAAATGAATGAAAAATTTTTCGTCATTCAGATATATACGTGACTTATGTGTGTATATTATACAACGTAAACATACGTTACGTTTAATCTGATAAATGTGGAATATATTGCTGCTGTTGTTTCTTTTTCTTTTTAAGAATGGCACAATGATGATAACGATCATCGAGCAAAAAAAATTCAATTTTATTCACCTTGCAACATTAATCAATCAAGTATCCATCACGAATGAATGAATGATCATATCAATTTTTATATTAAATGTAAATGTTTTTCATATTTAGAAAATAAAAAAATTACGACCACCAAAAACCTAAAATAACCGGTCACACTTGTTGAATATGTTGTTGTTGTTGATATGGTTGATATATTGATAACAATAAAAAATCACTACAAAACATAACAATCATTATTATGGCATTCAATTATAATGATGTAATAAATAGAATCACGTAATCATCATCATCATGATCATCATGATCATAAATGGATATTTTATGGTAACTGAGTGCATATATGTGTTATTATCATATTAATAGAATTGAAGAATTTTCAATCAATTTTTTTTTTTTGTATTCATTCAATTAATTTACCAATCATGATGATGATGATGATAATGGAAATTCCAACTACGTAGTACACACACACACAAATATTATTCAATCGATGAAGAAAAACAATTTTTTTTCTCTGGTAAATCAATTATTAGTTTTGGGTAATGTACTTTTCAAGACACAAAAAAACACATGAAAATGAAGAAAAAAAATTTGTTGATCAGAATTTTAAATTTTAAAAACACACACACACACAAACACATGCACAATGAATGAATGAATGAATGAATTGATCCATGTCATGAACGATTTGGTAGCAAGATAAAATCGAATAAAATTTGATACTTTTTAAGCGAATAAAAAAAAAATCCCAATCCAAAACGTTCCACACAAAAGAGATCGTTCGTTTCACGTTGTTGTTGTTATTGTTGTTGTTTATTTGTTGTATCAAAATTTGACAAGGAGAGAGAGAGACAGAGATTGAGAATAGAAACAAAACAAAACAAAAAAAAAATCAACAACAAGGTTTTAAGTATTATTTTCAGATAAATCTGAAAATAGATTTCTTTCATTGAGAGCCAGACAATATAAGCAAAAGCTAGCTAGTCCCCACATACACACACAAGTTGTGATGATGACGATGACGCCTCGATTAAATCCACACACACACACACACATAAAAACAATCCATGAATATGAAATGGCAATCAATTTGATGATGATTATTAGTCATCAATATCAACCAAAAGAACATTTGATGATAATGATTAGTTATGATCCATGAATAAAATGAAAAATATTTATTGATTCAATGTCGTTTCCGTTTTCAATTTTTTTCATTTCATTTCATTAATTTCATTTCATAAATTGCGAATTATCAATGGGCCTTTTTTTCGCATGTTGAACATTGGCCATGGTTCCAATGTTCATCATTGGAATAAATTCATTTTTTTTTAAATTCAAAAAAAAATTCATTTGTAAAAATCTTAATTCTATACTTGTGTGAACCGTGACAGTTGGAATTTTTTTTTTTTTGTTTGTTTGATTGATTCAGCCATGAATCCATGGCCCAAAATATAGTTTCTATTCTGCTTCTAATGAAAGAAAATCATTCGGCCAATCATCTAATAATGGCTGGTAATGGCAGCCAATAATAATTATTGATTTCTGATCAATAATTTGAATCAATGATTTTTTTCGATCTTACCATGAATAATTTACAACAAAACAAAGCGAAATATGAAAAAAAAAATTTCAATGCAACAAAAACAAAAAACAAATCAATCGATTTTCAGCCAAACAAGAAGAAGGTCGTGGTCAACAACCACAACAACAACAACAACAACGAATGGCCTAATCATTGACCGGAAGAAATGATTGATTTTCATTGAAAATTTTCATTTTAATATGACTGTATGATTATTTTTGATTGGAAAAAATGTTTGTCAATATGACAAAATCAGGTCAAATAACCAAAAATTCATAGTTGATAAAAAAAAAAAAGATTTATCTGGTGTGCATAAAATATTTCAATTCATTTCGTTTCGTTTCGTTTTTTATGATTGCCTAACCATTCAATCGCCAAAAAAAACGTCAAATGTTCGTGTGTTATGATGAAATCGATTGTATTTCATTAGATAACCTGGTTGTTGTTATTATTAGATTGAATTACACACACACACACACAGATAGACACTTGCACTGTGCATAATTGCGTGATTTCAAACAAAGCCAAACAAACAATGAATGAATGAATGTACAAATTGTTTGAACAAACAAAATTGTCATTCGTTGTGAAAAGAGAATTTTTTTTTAAAAAAAAGGAAAAAAAAGATCAAAAATCAAACACAAAATTTTGTTCGTTTGGTTTAAGGTTAAGGTGACTCGTGTGTAAGCGTTTTTTTCTTGAAAAAATCCATTCAATTCAATTGTTTTGTTATTTTGGGTTTAGTTCTATTTTTTTTCATCATTTGTCCCCTAGGATCATCATCATCTTCTTTTTCATTGATGATCCAATTCCATTCTGAAATTTCTCAATCTGATGATCGATTATTGTTGTTTGAAGTGGTGAATTTCTCTACGGTTTTCATTTTTTTTTTCCATTTTTTCTCGATTTGAAAATGTTGCAATCCGTGTGTGTGTGTGTTTGCGTTTGTTTCAATTTAAGCAAATCGAATGAATTTGTTCTTTTTTTTGTTTGTTTCCATTTTCGTCTGCGAATGGATTATTAGGAAATTTTTTTTTTTTTTAGGAAGCAAAAAAAAAACTTGATTAATTTCATTCCCGATAACATCTTCATGGTTAAACATTGTTGATGATTAGCATTTATATTGCATACATCTGGATGAATGAATGAATGATGATGATTATTTCATCGTTGAATTGTGCTGAAATTAAATTCAATCATCATCATCATCATCATCATCATCATCGTTGAATGTCATCGATGATACAAATAATGTACACACACAAAAAAAAATATGTCTGTTGTTTGTATTGAATGAATGATTGTTTTTGGGAAGTATCATTTTAGTATGTTTTGCACGTGTTGTTGTTTTTTTTTTTGTTCTTGTTCTATATATAAATGTATGCGTGTGTGTGTAAACAACACGTGTTAAAAAATTACACAACATATATATGTTTCAATTTGGTTGATATATTGCTTTCTTGTTCTATATATTATACATACATCATGTTGACATGAATCTTTTTTTTTCCCAATTTTGTTTTGTTGACAGGTGAAAAATTGGAAACAAACAAACGAATGCAAACACACATCACCTGATCAAGTGTTGAACGATTCAATAATAATCTACCCACCTACACTGTGTTGTGTTGAATTAATAAGAGGTTCAAGATTGATTGAATGCAAAACAGATCTGATTTCATCATTAACAGATTAAAAGAATGGTAATGGTGGTGGTGGTGGTGGTATAAATATATTCAAAAGATTCAAAATCTTTTCTCCTTATCATCAATGATGACAAAATGTTTTCATGATGGCGTTATTCATCATATCATAAATTTCATTTCCCCATTAGCCAATAATGATGATGATGATGATGATCATTTTGCGTGTGATTTTGTTCGGAAAAGTTTTGCTGACAAAAAAAATAGGAAGTAATCAAGTAAAAACAACAAATCCAGAAATTTTCATACCAGAAAAAAAATTGAAGAAAATTTCCAAAAATTTCATGGAGCATGGTCCCATTTTTTTTCTATCCATTCATTCCATTCTTCATGTCATTGTAATTTGTAATGATCCAAAATCATTGTAATGATCCAAAATACTTGAATCAGATTTTCATTCATCTGTGTGTGTTTCTTCTTCTGTTTTTCTTCATATATATCAAAATCAAAATATTAAAATTCACATCCATATATATCACTTGACATTCATCAACGCATAATGTTGTGTGTGTGTGTGTTTGTGAGTCAATTTCATCATCTCCCATCATTATGGGCAGATTATGATTTTTTTTTCGAAACAAAATAATAATTGATGATGATAATTGAACGGATGGATGAATTGTATTTGTAAAAAAAAAAAATTTTTTTTTTTTTTTGCCATAAACGAACGTTGTGGTTGGTCTGAGATTGTGCAAAAAAAAAACAAACGAAAAATCAATTAATTGATTTTTCAAAAGTCGAAAATCAACAACAACAACAACAACAACAACGAAAACATCAACATTATGATTCATATCCCTAAAATGGCCATGTTTTCTGTCAATAGCGTTTTTTTTTATTTATAGATAATCAATTATTGCGATATATTGTTCAACAACAACAACAGCAACAATTAATGTTATGTTCAATTTATTTTCATCTTTTCTTTTCATTTATTGAATTGATTGCTCAAAAACAATTTAATGCTTGTGTGTATGTGTGTGTGTGTGAGTGTGTTTTAACCACCACCGCAAACGTTTTTCGATTTTTAAATAGTAAAAAAAAATTGTACTTGAACTGAATTTCGATATATACCACAAACACAAAAACAGACAAACACACAGAAAAAAAGAAATATTCAAAATACAAAAACAGACAAACAAACAAAGTATAATCACAAACACACAGAGCAAAAAAAAAACAATCCATCTGATAATAATAATAGTAATTATCGATTGTTAATAATAATTATTTTACCATGACTTAGTTTGACATTTGATTGATTGATTGATTAGGATTGATTTGATTTGATTTCAAATGTCACAATGTTCACAATATATAATATTTATCAATACACAATCAAAATCATCGCATATATGTAATAGACAAATGTTTGTGTTCGAATTTCGAATGTCAAAAAAAAAAAAAAATATCGATCTACTGCGCCATCTAACGGGAGCTGATGAAAGACAAGGATTTTTTTGTTTATGGATGGAAAAAAATTATTTTTCTATATATAGATTATCGAAAATTAAAAAAAAATGAAAACAAAATTTTCATATCTGTCGAGAAAATCATCACTAGTCATGTTCATTGATTGATTAATAACATTAAAATAATTAATTAATTAACAGGTAACAAAATGGTTAGAAAAAAATAATTGAGATAAATTAAAAACAAATCACGTTGAAAATGAAAAACAACAGATCAGAAGAAAAATCAACAACAATGGTAATGGTAATAATAATTTAAAAATGACGTCCAAATGGTACAATTTTCATATGTCCATTGGTGGCTGATTCTGGTATGATACCATATTCAATACATTCATTTGTACCCGATGTTGTTATCCTATGTTTTCGGCAAACAACTTGTTGCGATACTGGTGGTGTTGTATCGGAACTATCCGAAACAGGTGGTATATTATTATCTTGTTTCAAACATTGAACACGTAATACATTGAAATAAAATTGTCCCAACATTGTTGCATAAGAATTTGGTGATTTTTTCAAACAATTATAAAAATCTTCATCACAATCACAATGTAAACGACTATAGAATGAAAGATTGAATACACCATAACCAGTACGGAATGCTTTCAAACGAATTGGACAATGATCATGTGCACGACAACAAAGATCGATATCTAATTTAATACCAAGATCTTCATAATGACTGGCTACATCGCCAACACCGCACCACTATTGTAGGATTTAAAAAAAATGTGACAATTTATTCACTAATTCCAAAAAAAAAAAAAAAAATAATAATTACCTTTGTACCAGGTAGAATACCACGCCAAAATGTCCAATAATGTTGAAGATTCATTTCATATGGTGTTGCAGCATTATTAGATTGTGCCATTTTATTATTGGTCATATTATAAAATAATGGCTGTTCACCTGTAATTGTATCATTTGAGAAAATTCTTGACATTATGGTCGTTGAATTATTATCATCTACATTTGTTGTTGATGATGATGATTCGTTTGTCGGTTTTGTCACCATCATCATCATTGACATTGCCGTTGTTGTTGCGGTTGTTTGATTTGTATATCTTTTAATAAATACATCTTGATGTTGTATCATTGCCAATTGTGTACATCTTCTAACGGCTTCTAACATTGTTTTATGGCTAACAATTAATGGACGACGATCACCAACTACCATTGGCAATCGTACTGGTAATGGTTCACGTTCTAAATCGAATAATTCACAATAAATTAAATCACGACCAGTATGATCAAATACAAGATCGGCCATTGTTTTATCATTCTGTATTAATGCTTCGAATGGTTTGCGTGGTTCAAAATTTATTGGCATATCATTTTTTCCCTTAAATTCATTCAAATTTTCCGACGATGATGATGTTGGTGATGTTGATGATGATTTATTCGAACTATTTGAAATCAAAATAATTAGAAAAAAATCAAATTAATTCAAATTGAACAATAATCAATCAATCAATCGATAATTACAATGGATCAAAATGGACATGAAAATCATTTGTCATTTTACTATCATTGAAATGTAAATGGATTGTATCGGCAGCCATATCATTATCACCAACATCATTTTTTTCTTGTTCACTATGATTCAATCGAAAATTCGGATGATGATAATGAAGGCGGTGATGCCAATTGTTTGGTCGTAGAATTTTATCATTATTATTTGAAATTGAAGTTTTAGGCATTTCAGTCGTTGTCATCATCATCATCATCATCATTGTTGACGCTGTGGTCATTGTAGTTGAAATAGTCATCGATGCTGATGTTGTTGTTGTATTTGTGATAATTAATTCTGTTTGTTGTTGTTGTTGTTGTTGTGATGGTAATGATGAAATAGCCGAAGATATAGATGATGATAATAATGGCGATGGCGATGGCGGTGATGGCGATGACGACGACAACGACGACGATGATGATGATGATGATGTGAAAAATGAAAATAACCGATAAAATGGATATGTAATTGACCAACATGATCCATTTGATATGATGGTGATTAACATTAGTGACGACAATAACAACATTGTTGTCGCTAATGAATGGAATGATGAATTTTGGCCAAACATTTTCAAGTTGCAAAAATTTTTCTCAATTTTTTGGCTTTATAAAATTTATTTATTTATTACGAGATTTAAAAATGAAAATGAAAATCACTTTTAAAAATAACTCTTTTTTTCTGGAAATAAACAAAACAAAAAAAATTTCGTTTTTCGCTTCGAGTTTGTCTGTTTTGCACTAATTTTGTTGTTGTTGTTGTTGTTGTTGTTTGGTATATTTTTTTTTTTTTTTGCTGGCAAAAATCAAAACTTAATAATAAAAGGCCATCATCATCAAGAAAAAATAAAGAGAAAACATCATCATCATCATCAGTATTATGAATGAATCACGATGTGAAAAAAATTTGAACATCGAAATCAGAGAAAACAAAACAACAACAACAATTTTGTATTATTGAAATATTTGTGATTCACAATGATGATGATGATGATCAATTTTTGGTTCAATTGATTGATTGATCAGGTTGATTTTCGTATCGATGATTATTATGGCCGGAGAGAACAGCAAGTTTTTCATACGTTCCAGAAATATAAAAATTTTTTTTTTATTTCGTTTTCGTTTCTCAATCAAGTTTGGTAAAAATTTTTTTTTTTTTTTTTGCTGGTTAAATTGGTCAAAATTTATATTTGTTTGTTTGTTTGTTTGTTTAAATTCCAAACAGGATAACAGGAGAGAAAATAAAAAAAAATTTCATTTAAAACGGAAGTCAACGTTTTTCCAAAAGTTGTTGCTGTTTGTTCTTGCTGAATCTCATATAGTTTTTTTTTCATTTGTTTCAAAACGAAGATTTCATTAATTTTCAATCAATCAATCAATCAATGTTTGCATACACAAATTCAAATACGTTGAACTTGAATTTTTGTTTTTTGTTTTGTTTGTTTGAACTATAGTGGACATCACAGATAGAGAAAAAAACACACGATAATCATCGATAGTTTTGGTCACTTCACTATCGATTTTTCTTTTGTCAGAAAAAAATGCTGTTTTTTTTGTTGTTGATAATTTTATATATATGAAGAATTTTTCAACGATAATAATCAGAATATATATATATCTGAACATCAAGAGAGACAGTTTTTGATTGTGATTGAGTGGAAAATCGTTTGGTTGTCAAATTGAACGAGTTTTTTTTTGTTTGTTTGTTTTACATCCTTTTTATTCATCATCATCATCATAATTCTTTCAGGATTTCATAATTTTTCATAATCTGAAATTCTTTTCTTGTTGTTGTTGTGGTTTAGTTTTTCAATATGATTTACGAGTTGATTAGTGTGTGTGTGTATGGATAATCTAGATGATGTGATTGAAATTTATTTTTTTTTCTATCGCTGTCGACTATCACCATAGTTGATGATAATTTTTTTATGGTAAAAAAAAATTTCTGGTTCAATCAAGTACCGGAAATACAGTTTTCAAAAAAAAAGGAAAATCCATGAAAATTTGCAATAATTCAGGTCACCAGATATTAAAAAAAAATCCATCAGATGTGCACTTGTTGATCTCGATGATTGACGGTGGTGGTGGTGGTGGTGGTGTTTAGGAGATTATATATCAAATGATGATGATGATCAATTTGTGATGATTTTTATTTTGTTCAATTAACACACGTACACCAACACGTGTGTATTAATGTGTGAGTTGTCTTTCCACCATTACAGATTTTTAAATACCAGAAATATTAAATTTTACAAATGAACAAAAAAAAGAAAAACTGACATTTGTCATCAATCGAAAGTTTATTTCTATGTGTGTTACAGTGCGATATTCATTTTTTTTTCTTTCTTTCACTTTCTGTCAACCATTATTATCCTGAACAAATATTAAGCACATAGAAAATGAACGGTTGAAATGAAAAGAGAGAGAGAGAGAGAGAGAGAGAGAAAGAGAAAAAAACCAACAAAAGCAAATAAACATGACCAAACGAACTCCGACGACGACAACAACAACAACAACAATACAATACATGCATGTTTGGTGACAAATGGACAAAAAAAAAAAAATCCTTTCATCAGCAAGAAATGATGTGATTATCATCATCATCATCATCATCGTCATCGTCATGATATGGTTGAATGATGACCGTAGACATTTTTTTCTCTCCCTTTACCATTTTAAAACAGAGCAAAAGAATGGAATATTTCAAAATCATAATGCAATATATACTCATGTCTATTTGAACGTTCGTTGGTGTTTATTAATCAATTAACTAAAATGTAAAAGGTATTTACATTCACTGATGTGAATATATGATGATATTTTATCATGGATATGTTTTTTTTTTCATTTTTTTACCAAGGTTCATATAAATATTCCGGTCGATTAACCACGATACATCAAATCAAATCAATATAAATCATCATCATCATTGAATTTAAAAAATTCAATTACCCATTCCTAGATGGCGACACACAATCGACAACCTGTTGAACGAAAAAAAAAATTGGAATTTCAAAATTAAAAAACAAAAATCATCAATCAAAATCAATGATCTTATTTACCCTTTTCCTACAGAAAAATTAAATTAAATCCATTTTAAAATGTTTAATAGAAAAAAATAGAGAAAAAAAACATCTGTATTCAAACAACAATATTGTTGAAATAACCAGTTGTTGGCCACAACTCAACATCAACATCATCACTATATCTGTCCTCAATACTGAATGTTTTTCTTGTCTTGTTTTTGTTGTTGTTGTTGTTGTTATCTTATATCGTCAAATTGAATAACCACATTTTGTTGAACCAATCCATGTAATAATGATAGTGATGAGATACAACAAACATCGATTGTATCAAGGTAAGTCAGCTGAATTCAGGTGAATTGATTTTTTTTCTACTGTTGTTGTTGTTGTTGTTACCTTGCCAGGGTTTTCATCATCATGGCAATAATAACCTACTTATGACAGCAAAACCACCATGCTACAACGATGATATATCAATGTCATGAATCATGGATTCATGTTATCAATGCCAATCATTAAGAATTTTAAAACCAAAAAATCGAATTAAATTCGATGAATCCTTTTTTTTGGGCTGTTGATGATAATAAAAATTTCTGATTATTATCGGGATTTTTTTTTCGCGGTCGGAAAAAAATTGATCATAAAAAATGGATTCGAACCATTTTTTTTTATGATCATCATCATTTCCTTATGTGGTGATTGGATGTGGATCCAAATTGTGAACAAGTTTTTGCCTAAAAAGTTGAACACACACACACACAGACAAAAACATTTGTTGAAAAACAACACCAGAGAGGGTAGTCGTCGTCGTCGACGGTCTTTGTCGTTTTTCACATCCATTCATCATTGATTTACACCACTACTATATACCACTACTAAGTGGCTAAAAATTATTTTAAATTTTCTTCCCTTCTTTATCATCATCGTCATCAACATTAAATGGTATTATTATTATTATGGGGTCGATTTTGTTGTGGTAGTGTGTGACCTTTAACATGACAATCAATGATGATCAGTTTTGGTTGGTTTCGATTCGGTCAATATGTGTGTGGTGTGTTAATGTTGTTGTTGTTTTTTGTTTGTTTGTTTGTTTGCTGATGTTATGATCTTGGTTTGTGTGTGTGTGTGCACACACAAAAACTTTGATCATAAGAAAAGAAGAAGAAGAAGAAAAACGAGGTCAAACGATCATGATGAGCGATTTTTATTTTTATTTTATTTTCTGGTAAACAATCTGACCATTTTTTTTTCTCCGGTGATGATGTTGATGATGATGATGATGGCGACGTAACAAGAAAAAATCCGACTCTCTCTCTCTCTTTCTTTTTGTTGTTCGAGTTTTTTTTCCACCAGGCAAAGGAGGAAGAGATTCAAGTTTCAAGATTTCATCGATCAACCAACCAACCGACCAACCATGTTACGGTATGTAAAGATATCGATGTATAAATTGGTTTTTTTTCTCACAATTCAATATTGTTCAACCGAACAACAACAAAAATAGAGAAAAAGAGTTACGATATATATATTGATATGAAGTGAAGAAATCCAAGCGATCCAATCACATTGAACATCACATTTACCGTGGTAACAATTTTTTTTCGGTTTTGGTTTTGGTTTTGGTTTTTCAAGTTTCTCTCAATTTTTTTTTTCCTACCCGTCATATATAGAATTCAAGGAAGAAGAGAGAGTTGACCTTGAAGATGGTGAAAATCTTCGTTGTTTCAAATGATGAATTGATGGTCCGATTATTTTTTTCTTCATCTTTTTTTTTTTTGCTACGTTTGATTGAATTTCGGGAAGCAAATCATTATTTATTTAACTGAATCAAACTAGAGAAAAAATTTTTTTTTTTTTTTTGTTTTTTGTTTTGTTTACTACAATCATTGATTGGCTACCGTTTAGTACACATTCGTTGTTGATCGTTCAACGATCAATGATCATATATATCCGGTGGATAGCCAGAAAACAGAACCAAAAAAAAACAGAAAAAAAAAATTCTTCAGCAATTTTCAATCTGTGTTGTGAATGTGAATAAAAGATTTTTTGTTTTCTCTTTACCATACAGGACGACACCCAAATATTTGAACTTTGACCTCAATCGCATGTGTGGATTTAAAATCATTCATTTCTATGTTCTCTATTCAATGTGTATGATGATGATGATGATTCGAGCATTTGTTTATCCATATGAATTCAACAATTTTCATGTTTAATTTTTCATTTTGAACATTTTGATTTTCATCAACAGTCTCTGTATATATATGAAATATCCATCTGTATAAAGTTTGTTTGTTTGTTTGTGAAATTCTTCTTGAAATAAATCGATATTGATCAACGATCAAAACATAAAGGTATGTGCTTTATTTATATATGCAGATTTTTTTTTTTTTGGTTGGCTTCTCATTGTTGCATAAATGTTTGGAACAAGATTATCGTTTCCTGTTCGAATCCAGAACGGAAATTTCATACATTCATTCAATGAAAATGGCTTTTTTTCGATTGAATTTAATTGAACTTAATTATCGTCAATCATTAATGAACAATTTTATTCGATGATGATTCATCGAACCGACGATCGTTTGATTACTTGAATTCAAAAAAAAATGATGATGATGATAAAATGAAATTTATCATCAAACTGTGTCCTCCGTTTGAAATGCCAATGATGATGATCATTGATTCATTCAATTTGTAATTTTTCTCTTGGTTTTCGGTTTCAAATTGCCAATTTTTTTCCACTGTTATCATTCATTTAATTATTTGATTTTTTTTCTATTTATTTATTTTTGATAAATAAACATTAGGGAGACATTTATTATTGGCCAACTATAAATCAATGATGATGATGATGACGATGGATTCAATACAGACCAATGAACTACCAGATCATATTCATCATCATCAGCATTTTAATAATCATAATCTTAATGATGATGATAACGATGATGAAGATCATCATCAGAAACCACCACCACCATATGAAGAAATACAACGGGAATCAATCAATCAATCACCAACAGCACAACCAATTGAAACATCAAGTAAAACTGCAACAACAACAACAACAACAACCACAACCACAAAAATGGCTTCTGAATTGTCTTTCAAACAATTACGACATTCACTTTCAATTGAAAATCCAATGGCTGAAGTATTTTCGAATCCAGAATTTGATCATGTTGAATTGAAAATTCAAGGCCATATTAATCCAATTCATCAACAACATGCTAATAATAATGATGATGATGGTGATGGTGACCATGTGAATGATCAAAAATCGAATAAATGGATCGTATCGATTGTTGATGGTGTGGAAAGAAAATCACGTCAAGTTTTTTGCCAATGGAAACAATGGCAACGACCTGAAGTGATTGCTATTCGTTTATTCATTTTTTTGGTCACATTATTATTATTGATACAAATGATTCGTGTATGCATACCTAACGATAAAACAACAACAACAATAATGAATGATGATGAATCGAATAAATCAACAATGCCATTGATGAAACAGACATCTGAATTAAAAATGTATTCAGGACGGACTGGAAAAGCACTGTCTATTTTATCATCAAATCCATCATCATCAACATCAGATTTATTATTATTATCATCATCATCATCATCATCAACGATCGATGATGAACATCAACAACAAGAAGGAATCAATGTAATGGAAACAAAATTATTACAACCAGATCAAGATTTGATTAACGCACAGCCATCATCATCATCATCAACATCATCCAAAAGCCATAATGATGGTGATGATGATGAGAGAAACAAATTTAAATTCAACCACATTGATTCAATTCATTCACAGGAAAATGAACCGGATTTTTCAAGTAATTTTTAGATTTTTATTTTTTTTTCTTTTACATTTTTTTTTAATGAATATTTTTTTCCAGGTCAAAATATTGATCATCATGATGATAGCCGAATGGATGAACATCCGACCGAATTTATTGATGATAATCATCAACATGATGATGATACAACATTGATTCATTTTTCATCATCATCATCGTCGACAACATTGAGTCAAGGAACATCGACATCTGAAACAACAACAATGCCACCATCATCATTGCAATCAAGTAGCACAACGATGACGACAAAATTATTGCCAAGAATCATGAACAATGGTCAAATAACGAATTCGAATCGGATACAATTTCAGCCATCATCATCGTCAACAACAATGGCACCTGTATCAGCCATGACGACAACGGCCAATAAATTGTATAACATATCAATTATTATACATTCGGCAAATGTACCAGATATGGATTCCGGATATTTAATGGGCCGTGCATCCGATACCTATTGTAATGTTTTCATTGATGATGTATTGGTTGGTAAAACGCCAATCATTGATAATTCCAATAATCCAAGCTGGCATTATCTATTGCCAAGACAATTTACAGTAAAACGTGAAACATGGATACGAATCGAATTATTAGATAGTGATCATGTCCGTAATGATCATATTGGTGGTATTTTATTGAATTTCGGTGATTTACTCAAAAATGGTAGTATCAATAAACCAATCAATATGTTTCATGGTCGTGGATATATTTGGGTAACAATTTCGAGTGTTCCGGTTTCATCTTGATAAAGATGATTATATTTATAAGAACCAATTCAACAGCAGCAGCAGCAAAAACAACAACAGGAATAGATCAATTTTTTTTTTGAAACACAAACGCATACACCATTTCGAATTGAATGATTGTGGTTTTTCATTCATTCTTTTTACTTTTCTTGACATTTACAATTATTATTATATATCATAATTATCATCTATATATGATTGAAGAAAATGAATATGAATAAATAATTTATTTATGCAAATTACAGATTATTATTTTTTCCAAAACAAAAATCAATATTTGATCAAATAAATCACATGATGAGCAGACAAAAAAAAATTTCATTCATTTTTCAGTGAACGTTATAACCTGGATGGAAACATTGATGATAGAATTGCATAGAAATCGATCTGTGTGGACCGCTGCTGCTGCTGCTGTTTTGATTCTAATGATATCGTCGATAAACAACATGAACATAGATGAACATTAATGATTGTGAATAGAGCAGAAAATACTATAGAAAAAATCAATTGAAATTTGGAATAAAAAAATTTTTCTAAATCAATCAATATTCAGATTACCTTGACACATTCATTCATTGAGATTAGTTCAAGTTTTCCATATGTGAAACCGTATTTATTTTTCGTATGAAAATTTTGTCCATAATTAACTAGCTTCAATCGATTAGCCAGATCAATATGACGATTTAAATGTTGATGTTTTTTAGCCAATATATGTATGAATGTGATGCTTGATTTTTGAAATTGTCGGTTAGCTAATGCAAATAATAGATGTATGCCGAATATACAGATTATTTGATCAGCAATAACCGAACCAGCAAGATATCGAATTATCCATGTAGTTTGCATACAAACAACAAATACCAATAGATAACAATTGAATGGAATATTGGGCAATAAAAATATAAGTAATGCACGCGAATAAATATTACCAGTTATTATTCGTTCAAGATTTTTTGTATGACGCATGTGAAACCGTTTCAACGTACGCCACAGATTTATTGATGATTTAGCATTTCTATGATGATGATTGCCACGATGAAGCAACTGGCCGGTTTGCCAACAGAATATATACACGACAATTAGATAAGCAATACAAATAGTACCCATCAATATAGTAGCATGACCATAAACATAAAGACCAATGAATAAAATCAAACGATTGATTATACATTGAATCAGTCGGATATAACCGAAAAATCCAATGCCAAAAAATTCATTGAAATTATTCCAAATAAATTCAATAGCCGTTACACTGAATGAAATGAGGTATAAATCTAATTTAATGACAAAAAAATATAATTCCATATATATGGGAAATACTGAAAAAATCTCGTAAAAAACTCACCAACATTTATCTTGAAAATATATATTGAATATAGCCAGATTTTAATGATAAAAACCATAAAATTTACAGCAACATATTGTTTATATCGATATGGATGATAAAAGGATCGATTTTCACGCATTATTAAAACACGATCCAATATTTGAGCTGTTGGATTATCCAGATATAACATATTCAGATATCGGTAAGATTGATAAATTAATGCAACCATAAAAATATTGGCATAATAATCGAATCCAACTTCACCCAACATATCGCTATTGATCACATCCCATAATTGATCACGAATATGATGGTAACGAATGGCAAAATAAGTATGTCGTATTGCCAACCAAAACATGAATACATTCAACAACCTGATTGGATCATGTATTTTTCGTTGAAATTTGTTTGGATTTTCTCTGGCCAATCGATGACTATCAAAATAATGTTGTATATAAAATGATGGACGATAAAATAATAATGGTGATAATAGCCGAATAATTCCCACCATATTGGCAGACAAATTATGTCGGATTCTAAGCAAACGTCTTGAATGGATGTTTATTTTTTTAATAAATTTTTGAACCACATTGTTTCGAGGTTTTGTTTATTCATTGAAACTAAATCACTGAATAAGAATGGAATAAAATATCAAGTATCAACTTGAGAAAAAAAAATTAAGTTTTAAAATTGAAAAATTCCTGAGAATTTAAGTGTGATTGTGGGTGTGGGTGTGTGTGTAAACATGTTATTAAATTCAAAAATTAGTACCATTGTCATTTTCATTCAACAGTGAATGATGACGTTTTTGATGAACCAGCAAGATTGAAAACAAAAAGTTAAAAAAAAAATCAATTCAAAATTGCTGCTTCTGTTTGAGTTTAAAAGTAAAAAAAAATTGCCCATTTTTTCCATTCGATTTTTTTTCTCTACCGGTTTTTGTTGTTGTTGTTGTTGCTATCAAGACCACTATTCATCGATCACGTTGAGTGCTTGATAAAAAAGCTATAATGACGGAAACGTTGGTTGAAAATTTTTCTTTTCTCAAATCAAAAATTTCAAATTCCAAAAGTCAAGTTTTATGAATTTAATTTATTATTATAGTAATAATAATGGTAATGAAAAAAGTTGAAACTTTTTTTTTAAATTGTTCAAAATCCAATAAGTGAAATGGAAACGAAATAGATATTTTGATAATAAAATTTTATCGTCATATTTACTGATGATGAATTTGACCAATTTTTTTTCTGCATGTACTTTAATTCTGATATGAATGATATTGCCGATAAACAACATGAACATAGATGAACATTAATGATTGTGAATAGAGTAGAAAATACTATAGAAATAGCAAAAAAAAAAAAAAAAAATCAATAATTAAAATTGGAAATAAAAAAAAATTTTTCAAATCAATCAAACAATCAATATCGAAGCAGTTACCTTGAAACATTCATTCATAGTGATTAATTGAAGTTTTCCATATGTGAAACCGTATTTATTTTTTGAATGAAAATTTTGTCCATAATTGACTAGCTTCAATCGATTAGCCAGATAATGTGACTATTAAAATGTTGATGTTTATCAGCCAATATGTGCATGAATCTGATGCTTGATTTCTGAAATTGGCGATTAGCTAATGCAAACAATATATGTACACCAAATATACCATAAATTTCACTAGTTATAACTGAACAGGATATAAATCGAATTATCCATGTTGTTTTCATACAAACAACAAATATCAATAGATAACAATTGAATGGAATATTGGGCAGTAAATATAAAAGTAATGCACGCGAATAAATATTGCCCGTTTGAATTCTTTTTAGATTTTTTATATGACGCATATGAAACCGTTTCAACATACGCCACAGATTTATTGATGATTTATTATTTCGATGATGATTGCCACGATGAAGAAGCAATTGACCGGTTTGCCAACAGAATACATAAATAGCCATCAGATAAGCAATAACAATAGTAGCCATCAATATATTACCATGACCATAAACATAAAGACCAATGAAAAAAATCAATCGATTGATTATACATTGAATCAATTGGATATAACCGAAAAATCCAATACCAAAAAATTCATTAAAATTATTCCAAATAAATTCAATAGCCGTTCCAACCAATGAAATGATACATAAATCTATTTTTTTTTTTTTTGAAAAAAAATAAAATAATAATTTCTATTTAAATCTAGTGAAAAACTTACCAATACTTATTTTGAATAAATATACAAAACATAGCCAGAATTTAATGATAGAAACAATAAAATCAACAGCAAAATATCGATTATATCGATATGGATAATAAAAGGATCGATTTTCACGCAAAATCAAAATACGATCCAATATTTGAGCTGTTGGATTATCCAAATATAACATATTCATAAATTGATAAGATTGATAAACTAATGCAGCTACAAATATATTTGACCAATAATCGAATCCAAGCTCATCCAACATATCACTATTGATCACATCCCAGAATTGATCACGAATATGATGGTAACGTATGGCAAAATAAACATGTCGTATTGCCAACCAAATCATGAACACTTTCAACAACCTGATTGGATCATGTATTTTCCGTTGAAATTCATTTGGATTTTCCCTGGCTAATCGATGACAATCAAAATAATGCTGTTGATAGAATGATGGACGATATAATAATAATGGTGATAATAGCAGAATAATGCCTTTCATATTAACATTGAAATGATTTATCAATCTTAATAATCGCCGTGAAATGATGAGAATGTTTTTCACTAATTTTTCAAACGGTAGTATCAATAAACCGATTAACATGTTTTATGGTTGCGGATATATATTGGGTAACAATTACGAATGTTTCGGTTTCATCTTGATGATGATGATGATGATTATATTTATAAGAACCAATTCAGCAGCAGCAACAACAATAGATCAATTTTTTTTTCTTGAAACACAAACACATACACCATTTCGAATTGAATGGTTATGGAATTGTTTTTTTATTCTTTTTTTGCTTTCATTGACATTTATAATCATTATACATCAATATCATCTATATACGATAAATTTTTTTGTTTTCCAAAGAAAATGAATGAATCATTTATTTATGCAAATTCAAAAAAAAAAAAATCAATATTTGATCAAATAAATTACACGATGAACAGACAAAAAAAAATTCCATTCAGCGTTCAATGTATATTGGAATCATTATGGAATTATTGGAAATAAAATAGATAATGATGGTTTTCAATAATTTTTAGCCAACATTATATTCTGATGGCAACATTGATGATGGAATTTCATCGAAATCGATCTGTGTGGGTTGCTGCTGCTGTTGCGCTGTGTCGATTCTAATGATATCGTCGAAAAACAATATGAACATAGATGAACATTAACAATTGTGAATAGAGTAGAAGATACTATAGAAAAAAAATCAATAAGAAATAAAAAATTTTCAAATCAATCAATCAATATCCAGATTACCTTGACACATTCATTCATTGTGATTAATTCAAGTTTTCCATATGTGAAACCATATTTATTTTTTGCATGAAAATTTTGTCCATAATTAATTATTTTCAAACGATTAGCAATATAAATGTGACGATTAATATGTTGATGTTTTTTAGCCAATATATGCATGAATGTGATGCTTGATTTTTGAAATTGTCGGTTTGCTAATGCAAACAATAGATGTATGCCGAATATACCGGCAAATTCTTCAATTATAACTGAGCAGGATATAAATCGAATTATCCATGTAGTTTGCGTAAAAATCACAAATACCAATAGATAACAATTGAATGGAATATTGGGCAATAAAAATATAAGTAATGCACGCGAATAAATATTGCCCGTTTGAATTCGTTCTAAATTTTTTGTATGACGCACCTGAAATTGTTTCAACATACACCGTAGATTTATTGATGATTTATTATTTCGATTATGATGACGATGCTGATGATGATTGTCACAATGAAGCAATTGATCGGTTTGCCAACTATATATATAAACAGTCAATAGATAAGCAATACCAATAGTAGCCATCAATATAGTAACATGAGCAAAAACATAAAGACCAATAAATAAAATCAATCGATTGATTATACATTGAATCAATCGGAAATAACCAAATAATCCAGAAAATTCATTGAAATTATTCCAAATAAATTCAATTGCCGTTATACTCAATGAAATAAAGCCGAAATCTATTTTTTTTAATGATAATTTCTAGTGACAAACTCGTGAAAAACTTACCCAAATTTATTTTGAAATAATAAACGAACCATAGCCAGATTTTAATGATAGAAACAATGAAATTAACAGCAGAATATCGATTATATCGATATGGACGATAAAATGATTTTTTTTCACGCAAAATCAAAATACGATCCAATATTTGAGCTGTTGGATTATCCAGATATAACATATTCATAAATTGATATGATTTATAAATTAATGCAGCTGCAAATATATTTGACCAATAATCAAATCCAACTTCATCCATAACATCGCTGTTGATCACATCCCAGAATCGATCCTGAATATGATGGCGGCGTATGGCGAAATAAGCATGTCGTATTGCCAACCAAATCATCAACATATTCAACAACCGTATTGGATCATGTATTTTCCGTTGAAATTCATTTGGATTTTCTCTGGCCAATCGATGACAATCAAAATAATGCTGTAGATAGAATGATGGACGATATAATAATAATGGTGATAATAGCATAATAATTCCTTTCATATTTGAAGACAAATTATGTCGGAATCTAAGCAAACGTCTTGAATTGCGGATAATATTTTCTATAAATTTTTTGAACAACATTGTTTCAAGTTTTTTTTCATTGAAACCAATTCATTGAATGAAAATAAAGTAATATATATGTAATTCTGATAATTCTGATATATATATATTCAATTTTAAAATCCAAAAATTCCCAAGAACTTAAGAGTTTGTGTCAACATGTTATTGAATTCAAAATTGATTCAATTTTTATTTCATTTTTTCTTCATTCACAGTGATGATGAAAAAATTTCATGAAAATGAAAAAAAAAAAAATTGTTCAAAATTGCTGTTCGAGTTTTTTTTTAAAAAAAACAACCTTATTTTTTCCATTTGATTTTTCTTCTCTACCGGTTTTTGTTTTTGTTTTTGTCGAGACCAATATCAATCGATCACATTAAGCGCTTGAAAAAAAAACTATTGACGGAAACGTTGATTGAATTTTTTTTTATTTTTATTGCATAGAAAACGATCTGTGTGAACTGCTGCTGTTGCTGTTTCGATTCTAATGATATAGTCGAAAAACAATATCAAAAGATTCGACGTTGCACTCACAATTTCATATGTAAAATTATCGTACTTTATTATTCTTTTTAGATTAGCTTTTATAGTAAATTTGGGATTCATAATTTGCTTTGTTTTAACAATGTTCATGATGTTCGTATGTTATGATTTTTTTTGTATATTTTGTAATAGACAAAGCAATTTCCTAACATGTATCATTTGTTAGTGTTTTACATCTATTAGAATTTACTAATGACAATGTTGTTTTGATGTTTTTCACATCCTTTGATATTCAGATGTTTGATTGATCATTTTGGTTTGATTTTATGAAAATCATAACAATTCCTTGACAACAATATGAACATAGATGAACATTAAAAATTGTGAATAGAGCAGAAAATACTAAGGAAAAAATCAATAGAAAATTAGAAAAAAAAAAAATTTCCAAATCAATATTCAGTTTACCTTGACACATTCATTCATTGTGATTAGCTCAAGTTTTCCATATGTGAAACCGTATTTATTTTTTGAATGAAAATTTTGTCCATAATGGACTAGTTTCAATCGATTAGCAATAGTGATGTGACAATTAAGATGTTGATGTTGTTTAGCCAATATTTGCATGAATCTGATGCTTGATTCCTGGAATTGCCGGTTAACTAATGCAAACAATAGATGTACACCGAATATAGAGATTATTTGCTCAGCAATAACCGAACCAACAAGATATCGAATTATCCGTGTAGTTTGCATACAAACAACAAATACCAATAGATAACAATTGAATGGAATATTTCGAAATTAAAATGTCAATTTTATCGACAAAAATGTCAAGTCATGTTATGATCATTTCGAATCAATAGAATCCATCCATCATCATACCATATTTGCCAAATTTACCGTATGGTCCATACATTCCGTATTTACCCATTCCGTAACCGTTATAAAAACCACCACGACCCATCATACCATTGTAGCTCATCATTGGTCCAACACCATAACCAGTAGCATGGCCATAATAAGGAACTGCATCGCATTGAATGGTCATAGCCAATACCAATACCAATGTGGCGATAATGATCAACGATTGTTTTATCATTGTGACGATTTTTGTTTTTTTTTCAAACGTTCAATTCGATTTGTTGTTCAATCGACTAATCGACAACGATTTATATATGAGCAGTGTGAACAAAATCAAAAACAAAAGAAACCTGAAATTCATCAAAATTAACTCACTCACGGATATTACCGATTTTATGGGAAACACACACACACAAAACGATAAATCTAATTAACCACAGTGAATAATTATGATGAGCAATCAAAAAAAAAAAAATGGAAATTGGAAATCCAGATTTTTGAATTTCACACACACACACACACACACACACACACACACACACACACACACACACACACACACACACACACACTCTTTTTAATCCATGCAAGAACCTGAGCAATAATTCATTATTTTTTTCCCAAATACAATGAAAAAACAAACAAAAACCAATGAAATATAATTTTAATGCACTTGATTTCACATCATCAGTGTTATTATTAGTTCATTATCGATCAATCAATTGATGATGATGCAACCAGGAAAAAAAACCATATATCACACACACACACACACACACATGGAAAAAATAATGTTTCATTTCCGGGAAACAAAAAACATCATCATGATGATGGTCAATCATTGGTTGTATCCAGAAAGTAAAATTGGTAATGGAGGTGACCAATTGCAAAGAATTTAAATTTTCGAAATTTTTATTTTTTGTCACTTTCAAGTTCAATGTTTGTCTGTTATTGTGTATGTCTTATCACAAATATATATAATATAATATTTCCATTAATATCCACAAATGAATCATATGAATCGTATGCAGGTAATATATTCGTATATTTATACACATTATATATGGTATATATGCGTGTGTGTGTGTGTGTCTGTGTCTGTGTTTATGAATGATTCTCAATGATTATGATGATGATGATGATAATTTCATGGATCAATGTGTTTTTTTTTCAGAAAAGAAAAACGAACTGGTTCAAGATGTAAATTATTTCGCTGATATTCTGTGTCTTAGTGTGTGTGTGTGTGTGTGTGTGTGTGTGTATTTATTTGTGTGAGAAACGTATATATTTCAAATCTATTTTTCTATTGTAGAATTATTCAAACAGAATTATTCTGAATGAATCAGAATTACAATATATATATAGCTGCATATATTTACACATTGAAATCTGAATTTAATGATGATCCATGATACATGAATGAGTAAATAGGCGAGGCAAGTTTTTTTTATATAATATATTGATTATTGATTATTATAATCATCATATATGGCATTTAATCATTATATAATATATACAACAATATATAAATCAATGAGATCGATAATAAATCGATAGATTTGTTTATCTATAAGACGAAAACAAAACGGATATTAATTCAAATGAAAAAAAACAATCAATAATACAATACTTACATGGAAACAAATTGAAATGTTAAGGGTAAATGAGAAGGAAAAAAACAAAACCGGATAGGCATTCGTGTGTGTGTGTGTGTATAGTGATTAGAATTTTCCATCAATCAAATTTTAAGTTCTGGCCACAAACGATATATATAGGAATAAGGGTGACACACCAACAAACACAAGGTACACAGAATCTGAAACAATGAGAAAAAAAAATTAGAAAAAAAAATTCAAAATTTTATCATTCATCAATGCGGTTTACCTTGTGACCACAACGATTGGCTGGTATTCAGCATTGACGAATACATTGAATGACATACATAGGTGTGTGTGTGTGTGTGATGAAAAATTTTTTTTCTTCAAAAATTTACAAAAATGAAATTTAAAAAAAAAAAAAAATGATACATGATGTGATGTTTTGTGTGTTTGTGTGCGAATGACGATTTTTTCTTTAATTTTTACACGTGATGAATAAAATTTTGATTATCATCATCCATAGACCAATAGATGTCGTGCATGTTCCCCAAAAATGAAAGTTTGTTCAAATTGTTGAATTTTCAAATGTGTTCAACGATAATCAAATCGAATGTGATGGATCCATTTGATGATGACGATGATGATGATAATGATGATGAGAAATTACGAAAGACATTAGGCAAAATATGTGTGTTTGTGTGTGTGTGTGTGTGTGTATGGGCGTGTGGGTGGATGAAAGGTGAGATGAAACAAAACAAAAAAAAGTGAAGAGAAAAAAAATAACCAAACAAAATGATGATAATGATGATGATGAATATTTAGATGTCACATTGATTATCATGATGATTTTTTTTTGTTATGTTTCACTTTACCAAATGAATTATTCGTATTGAATCGATAATAATAATTGAATCATTCCAAATCATCAACATCATCATCATCATAAATTGAATGTCATCGTCTTTTTTCCAGATTATTACTTGCAGCAAGAATACCATGTGCTGGACTATTACTAGTACCGGGTATTCCTGCAGCAGCAGCGGCTGCAGCCGCAGCTGCCATCGCTGATGATAGGCTACCATTACCGATACTACCAACGCCTACACTGCCGCTGCCACCACCACCACACCCATTCGATGATGATGACGATGATGTCGAAGATGACGAAGATGATGATGATGATGATCCATCACTACCATTAAGATGGCCACCTTTTTGCTGTTGTTGTTGTTGATTATAATATTGATGATGATGATTATAATATGGTTGCTGTTGATGTTGATGATGATTATGATTATGATTGTAATTATCCGAATTATTCATCATCATATTATGACCAGAATTTTCTTCTTCCCAACCATTCTCTTTGATCATATGTGCCAATTCAATTATATATTTGCCTTCTTTATATTTTTGACTTGATTCGAATGCATGTTCCTGAATGATGGGATAAATGGAAGACAAAAAAAACCGATTAGACCAAAAAAATCATCATCATCAACAACAATAAAAAACAAATGGGATGGGATAGGATTATATATACAAACGCCTACGAAATGACCGGCATAGAATTGAATAATTTGAATTAATGAGGTTATCATCATCAAATGAGAGGATCATTATGAATGAACAAAAAAAAAAAATGTATCAAAATAACTCTACATACGTCTGTCTGTCATCACCGATTGTGGATTGGATTAATGGAAATCAAACAAACAAAAAAAATTTTTCTTTCAAATTTTTCTTTTCCACTCCCACTATGAATGTTCCAACAGAAACTATTTTCACACTATTGAAACTTTTGTTGTTTCCACTCAATCACAATCACACATTCATCATCATTTATCTATTTGAACCATGAAACGAAAAAAAAATTTCGAATACAATCATTATTTATCATCATTAAATGATCAATGGATGGTTTATTGTGTGTATGGCAAAAAAAAAAATCCAGGAAGAGGAATAACCTACGCAACCACCACAAAGTAGAAGAAAAATGATCATTATGTCATCATCCTACACAAAAAAAAAAAAAAAAATAATAATAATACAAAACAATGATACAAAGTCGAAATAGTCGAATTATAAACATTCGAATTTTTTTTTCTTGTTCATAGAAATAAATAAATCAAATGAAAGAAAAAAAAAGTCTAATCTTTTTGTTTGTTTGTTTGTTTGTCCATTGTGATTAGCATCAACGATGATGACGACGACGAAGACGATGACAACGACCATTATCATCATTAATGTCAACCACCACAGCATCAGAAGCAGATAAAATGAAAAATCCAATCCAATTCATTTCAGAAAAAAAATGAATTGAAAGTGAAAAAAAAATTTTTATGAAACAAAATCTATATATTCGAATGTATAACACACTTCCTGGATATTATCCTATGATGAAGATTTAATCCCTGAAAACTGATATTTATCATCATCACCATCATTATCCATATGACAACAGAAACAACACTAAGCAGCAGAAGCAAAAGTCATGAAATAATGAAAATCCATAAGACAATATATTAAACATGAAAATAATCCGTAAAATGTATGTTTTCAATTGTGTATCAAACAACAACAAATGAAAATCAATTTCGGTTCATTGGACCCATTGGCAATCTCTCTATCCATGATAGTATACTATACTATGAATTGAATTCAATTCAATCAATTCAAATTCAATTGTACCAACTGACCGACCAATCAATCAATCAATCAATCCTATACCACCACAAAACAAAACCGACATCGACCAGACCATAAATGACCCAAATAATTGATCAATCGAAAAAACAAAAATCAATTCGAGTTACTGTATAAAAAAAAATGTATAAACCTTTTTTTTAACACAGGTGAATTGAATTATCGGTCAACAATGACCGTAAAAATAAAATCTCATCTCATTGTACATTGTTCAATCATGTAGTTGTGTGGAAAAAGATAAAGAACAGCAACAACAACAACAAAAACCAGCTTCACAACAACAATAAAGTCAACGAAAAAAAAAATCCAGAATCATAAGTCATATTATACTGAGGTCGTCGTACTTGATTTCGTAGTATATATAGAGATTCTTATGGATTAAAAAAAAAAAATATTCAACCACTACCACTGCTACTACGACCAACCAACGCTAATGGACGCCAATCATCATCATCATTATCATTGTTTTGTTAACCCTTAGTGTCTATATATATTTGGGCGCCAAACTCGATTTTTTTTTCTTTGCATTATTCACAAAAAAAAAATGATGAGAACCACTTGAGAATTGTGAATACAACATACACAAACACACACACACCTACATTACATGATTACTAAGCGATGATATGAAGCGAAAAAATATATTCAAGTTCAATACGACAATAAGTTCTCAAGAACCTTATAGAAATCTATACTAAATGAACTTTGTGTGCAAAGTTAAATTCAACAACAACAACAACAAAACAACTGAAAGAAACTGGTCTTGATGAATGAACGAGGGAGTGGTGGTGGTGATGTTTTAAATGGGGGAAAAGAGAAAGGCGCAAAAGATGATGATCATCATCATCATATGATCGAGGATAGAGGATCATTCACCTTTTTATCGTGAATTTATTCCTCTGGTTTTGTGTGTGTGTGTGTCTGTGTTCTGGAGCAAAAACATCACCACCACCACCACCACAACCATCTTTTCCATTCTCGATTCTGATTTCATTTTATTCTATGTAGAGAATCGTACAGAAAAACAAAAATAATTTGCGTATGCATCAATAGAACAAAATGATGATGGTGGTGATGATCAAAACCAAACTGATTGATTGATCATCTCGATACATGGCCAGAACATAATAATCGATCATAATCATCATGATGACAAACACACACACACACACACACACACACACTTAGTATATAAACCAAATGACAGCAATATTTTTATTTTCTTGTTCACATATTCAATATATTGATCGCACACAACAAAAAAAAAAAAAATCTCAAACATATGTGTGTGTGGTGGCAAATAATAATGTCCTTGAATTTTGATTCAATTCTTTATATATGTAGATTGTTATAACTAACAATCGTTTTATTTGGTCGAAAAATTTCTAATTGATTTTCGTTTTCGTTTTGTTTTTTTTTGGATCATTATACAGGATATGTGCATGTTCATGTGTACATAAATCATACACACACACACAGCTGTTTCTCTCACTATGTCAATATAATGGCCAGGAAGCTTGAAAACAAGAAAATTGTCAACATCAATGAAAATCATCATCATCATCATCATCATACGATTATGATCAAAACATTGAGGCTGAAAAAAAACAAATTTAACACATTGTTTACCATCACCAGCCACACCACCACCACCACCATTACTGATCATAGATTATGCTATAGAAATGTAAAGGCATCACCATCATCATCATCAAAATAAACGACTACAACGACAACAACAACAACGATAACAGCAACAACAAAATAATCATCACATTGTTAACGATGACGACAAACAGCGATAAATCATATGATGATGATGATGATATGATGATCAACAAAAAAAAAATTGTTGTTGTTGTTGTTGTTGCTCATTAACAAAAGAGAAAAAACCATATTCAATAAAATAAAAATAAAAATAAAAAAAAAATAAGATCATCGTCACCTGATCAACAATAACAGAAAAACAAATGTATTGCGAAATCAAAACAAAAAAAAAATCATTGTGTTTTGTTTGTATTGGTGAAGCCAAAAAAAAAAAGAAGAAAAGAAGAAGAAGAATATAGACGAAACCCAAAAATCGAATCGACCTTTTTTTTTTTTGGTTCATTTCATTTTTTTTTGCTTTTAGATTTCTTTTTTCTTTCTCATGTATCACACACACATATATATAGACACTTGAAATCATGGATAAAAAGAGAGAAACAAATGGACTATGGATTGTGTTTGTTTATTTTGTAAACTCATCATACACACACACACACACACACACACAGAGAGAAAATAAACGACCCAAAAAAAAAATCGGTTTCAATCGATTCGATTTATAATTTATCAATCAATTTTGTGTTGTATTTAATCATCATGTGATTTTGTTTTTATTATGATAAAATCAAATAATAACCACATCAACACTACAGAATTTTATATATATGGTGGTGGTTGATTGAATTGATAGAGAAAATAAATAGAGAATATATTCTGGTGTGGAATGAATAAAAAAAAATAAACCACCAGAATATTTATTCATCATCATCATCGTCGTCGTTTTTTTCCTATTTTGAAAACTAATCTTTTCTGACTTCGATTTCGTATTTCATATAATAATAATAATAATGAAAAAAAAAGGCAAAATTCGACAAGTGTTCCATAGAGAAAATCTCTTCATTCATTCATTCACACACACACACACTCGAATACATTTGCAAAAAAAAAAAAAAAAAAAAGTTTACAAGAATGGGCCCGTATGGAATAAAATGAAACGAAAAATATATCATGTGATATAGCAGCAATATTTGGTTCCAAACATTGGGCTTACTAAATACATTCTATAATTGAAACTTTTCTTCTTATTTGTTGTTGTTGTTGTTGTTGTTGATGTTACAAGGGCGACGACCATGTTGCAATAATAATGCGTAATAAAAAAAAAAAAATTCTGGTCCCATACAATGATCATGCGTACAATCATCATCATCATCATCATTGATTCAAAATTATTTTTTTCTCAATGTCGTTCATCGAACTTGGTGTTTACTGATCATCATCATGAACACCAACACTATGATGATGATCATTATTATCAAAAAAAAAGTGGTAAACATCCAAATTCTTTTTTCTTCATTTCAATTTCATTCACATAGAGCTCAATGTTTATTTTTCATTTTATTTTTTTTTTCCACAACATAAACAACAACAATTTTCTTGTCATCAAGAATCTACAATAACAACAACAACAACAGCAATATTCCAAATGGATTCATTAGATTGCGCCATAATTTGGATATATATGGGACGCGCGCACATAGACAGACATTTTATTCAATTCTGATCATGATGATGATGGAAAAGTATCAATCAATCAATCAAACAAACAATTGCCTGGATACAGACAAATAATAATGATAGGATTTTGTTCTGTGAATTTTTTTTCCACATTTTGTTTGTTTGTTTTCGATGCACACGCATAAAACAAATTGAATTTAAAGACATACACACACAGAGAGAGAAAAAAGGATTGCCCTATGAAAATTTTTCAATAGAAGGATTGTATGTTTTGCTTATCATTTGTTTTGTTTTTTTTTGGAACATATCAATCAATCAATCAATCAATCGATAATAATGTGACGACACACACACACACACACATAAAAATGCTTTTTGGAACAACAACATTAAAACAAGAGACACTTACATATTTCCAACCAAGTGTTGTTTTACAGCATTCACAATAGATATCAGCAACGGCATGTAAACCGGTGAGTAGTACACGTTCTTCGGCTATACCGCATTGAACGTTGACACTGTGAAAAAAAAAAATTTCAGTTAAAAAATTTTTTTTTTTCAAAGAAAAATTTCAAACTTACACTGAATTGAATAGATATGCTCGTCCTTGGCTGCCTTGAAATGACTGTGAAAAAATTAAAAATAAAAAAAAACATCAACAATCCGATAATATAAAGAATTTAAAGAATTTTCCATCAATTTACCTTTGATATCAGTTCATCATGATTGGCAAGATGAGCACGGCAGTGTACACAGCTATATGTACGATGGCAGTTTGGTTCTAAATATGCCTGAAATGTTTTCATTTTTTTCTCAAATTGTTGTTGCTGATTTTCCGTCATTGATTTTTGTTGTTGTTGTTGTTGTTGAAACGAATCGTTTAAATAATCATTATTATCATTCATTGATGATTGAATTTCTATACGTTCATTCGTTCGTTCGTTTGTTTGTTTGTTTTTTTGTTTTGATTTGATTTGAGTTGAGTTGAGATGAGTTGTGTTGATATTTTGCGGTAAACGAATGTGATAAATAAATTTTCAACTATCTTTTGTCATTTATTATCGATGATGATGATGATGATGACAATATCAGTTTTGTATCGATAATTATCGTTTCATTATTATCATCATTATAAAACAGTGGCCAACATTTTTGCATACTAAACGATAATGATAATGATAACAAATGAATGATGATCACCATCATTGATTGATTGATTGATTGATTAAATGATGAAAACAAAAACAAAAAATTGTTTCAAATAATCGATGATGATGAATACAATAGAGAACCAATATCACTGTAAAACAGAAATAGAGAAAAAAAAGTGAACAAAATTCAAGTCATAATTGATTGATTGATAGAAAAAATTTTTTTTTTTTTTTTGAATCAAGAAAAACAACAAAAGATCAAAAAAAGTGACAATATCACATGTACACACACAACACATAAATCCCTGACTATTTATGATGATGATTAAAATGCAAACATTTAACCATCATCGTCGTCGTCATTATGGTGATAATCTTTTTCAAGCAAACAAACAAAACAAATCAAACAACAACAATAACTGATGATAAATACATATTAATTTCTGCATATATATAGAAAATAAAGTGTTAAAAGAAGAAAAAAAATAGAGAAAGCAAAGCCAGAAAAAACACACACATGCACACGTTAACAGCATGGATACAAACCACCACCACCACCACCACCACCACCACCACCATAAAATCATCATCATCATCAACAACAACAAAAAAAAGATGATGCGTATTGGCCAATGTTTTGGTATGGTTGAAAAACCTTTTTTTTTTGATGTTATTCTCGTGTTTTCATCACATCATTATATTTTTTTTTTTCATCGTTGTTTATGGAAAAAAAAAAAAATTGGCTTTGAATATTACACATGCACACAGGCAAATATTCACTAGGTGTGTGTGTGTGTGTGTTTAATGCACACAGCATGATGTTTTGTTCACACACACACACACAGAATGTAGAATCAAGAATTTTTTTTTTTTTTTTGTTACTCGCTGCCATCCATTTGTTTGTTTTACAAGCGAATCAATTTGAATTTGTTTCTGTATTTCATGAATTCATTAACCGCAAAAAAAAACGAGAAGGGTAAACCAGAAAGAACTTTCTTGAAAGAAATTTTCTCACGAAAATGACAAAAAAAAAAATTTTATCCATCCTTTTTGTCGTGGGAGATAGGAGATAGAGGGTGTTAATCATAAAGGCCACCGACCATTCTTCTCACGTGATGATGATGTCTTCACAATAAACAAACAAAAAAAAACATCGTTTTTTTCGTTGATTAATAAATAATATAATATATATTAGATGCGGCCGTTGCCATGTTGTTTGCTTGTATTTTTTTTTTTATATCCATCTTTTATACTAATAATAATAAAGATGCACAATTCTGTATGCGTTTGTTTTGGTTGGCTGTTTGTTTGTGTTTATGAGCTGCCAAAGAAACGACGACACTTTATTTTATTTTTTTGCTGTTGTTGTTTTTTGTCATCGTTAGTTGGTTGTGTGTGTGTTTGTTGTCAAAAAGCTCAAACACACACACACACAAAACATCCGTTTTGATAAATAACGAAAAAAAAAAAACACACACACACAGAGAGAGAGAGATACTTGTTGGACTATTCATTTTGTTGGCCAGATGGTGGCCATATAATTTTAATTGATGATGATGATGATGATCCAGTTACACAATATAGTAGAGCTATAGTGTGCATCAATATTTTGGATCATCAGAATCATTATGTTTCTGCGTGTGTGTGTGTGTGTGTGTGCCAGGCACTATTGAAAAAAAAACACAGCACAACGCACAAGAAAAAATTTTTCATTGTTTCAAAATTATAATGATCATGGTTCCATTCTGTTTTTTTTTTTTTTAGATTTACCTTTTTCATTACATTGAATGATGATGATTGTTGTTTGTTTTGTATATGTATCAGATTTTCACACATTCACATCCATATAGAACTTGTTTCTGGAACAAAATAATGGATGAAAAATGGGGAAAAAAAATTTTCCACTGACTTTTAGTTTCAAAAATGAAATTAAAAAATGAAAAATGAATCTTTTTTTTCTTCTTCATTTTCGAAACAAAACAATTTCATTTCACATTCGTCGTCGTCGTCGTGGTCGTTTTTCGCTTGCTACCTGAGAATTGTTGTCAAGGTGATTCCAGGCACACACACGCACACCCAAAAAGAGATAAGAAAAACTTTCATTGCGAAAAAAAATACAGAATTTCAAGAAAAAAAAAAAAAAAAAAAATGTAATTTTAACTCAAACAAATGAACAGAGCAGAGCAAACAATTAACAACGTCGTCCATCCACCGGGAAAAAACAGATAAAAAAATAATGAATTTTTTTTCCTCCTGTGTCTTGTTCCAATTTCTACAGAATATAATGACGATGATGATGATGATAACAAGGACAACGGTAACAAAAAAAAAGAAACGACCAGAAGGAACGTGGGAAAAATTAATTTCATTCATTCATCATCAGCAACGCTACTGGATTTGTTTGTTTTCAAAGGGTGTGCGTATCATTTAATTCGTAAAAAATATTGATAACAGCAGCGAACAAAAAATATTCCAGAAATTTTTTTGTGAACAAAAAAAAATCATCTGCTGCTAACGACGACGACGACGACGACGACGACGGCGATGAACAAAAGCAGGTGTTTGATTTGCGAAATCATACACACAAATTGAAATTATTCAATCTATACAAATATAAATACAAATATAAAGTTCATAAGTTTTTTTTTGGTCCAAATACTCGTTACATCATTGAATTGAATTGAATTGAATTCAATTCGATCAATCAATTGATTTGTCGTCATCGTCAATATCGTCAATATCAATCAATATATATAAAAAAAGACGATGACGACAACGTCAAAACTACAACGTTAATTCATTTGAATTCCGTTTTATTGGTACTCTCCATAAACACTACTAAAATTGTTACGCAGAAAATCTAGAAATTTCGAATTTGTTGTTAATGATGAACAACAACAAGAAATCAATCAAATCAATCAATAAATGATCAATTTATAATGGAAAAAAAATCAACACTTGGATTGCTCAAAGCTTATGGGCTACATTATCATCATTTTCATTGGAAAAAGGTCACAAGGATACTGTTTTTGATTGATTAATCTACAAACATAAAAAAGAAACGTACCTTTAAAGGGTTAAATTGATGATGACAAGACATATGAAGTGGTAATTTCAATTAGTTGTCAAACACACACAAACACACACACACAAAGAGAAAGATAAACACACGTCTGACCTCTGACACAGAAAACATTCTATAAAAACTTGAATTATTCGATGGCATTATTCCAGTCCAATTAACCAATGTGATTGGATTAGCGGCGGCGCCACTTGGATCAACGTTTTGTTTTGGACGTCGACAATCTTTCGACATATGTCCAATCAAACCACAATTATAACATTTGCCACCAAAACGCTTCTTCTTCGTTTGTTTCTTTGTTTGTTTGGATGACGATGCTGACAAACCAACGTTTTCTGTTTCAGCAACCAGTTTACTATCAGTTTTTAGATTTCGTTCCAATTCTAGCAGATGCGACTCAAATGCGGTATCGGACATCAAATCACTGTCATCCTTTCCAGTGTTATATACAGCGAGAACTTGTTGAGCTGATTCATACTCCTTAGGCAACAGATTACTAATGATCGCGTTCATTAGACTTTCTGGCAAACACACATTTTTGTTCTTTAACTCCAGAAAACCGCGTCGAAGAATTTTCAAGAACTTTCATAATATCAATTGGATTGCTGCACGGAATAATCTGCATCAAATCTTGTTGACTCAAAGCATCTCCAATGATAGACTTGACCTTATCTATTTCTTTCAAATTTTTCTGATTCAATGAACGTTCATAGATCGTGACATCTTCAACATAGTTCTTCAAAAATTTAAACAATTAGTTGTCAAACACACACAAACACACACACACAAAGAGAAAGATAAACACACGTCTGACCTCTGACACAGAAAACATTCACAAAGAATTTCCAAAATTTAAAAAAAAAAATTCAATCGTTTTTCTTACTGACAACGATGATGTTCATACGTGATAATCAATGATGTTTTTTTTTATTCGATTCACAAAGATTGCTTTGCTTTTTTTTTTGTTTGTTTGTTTTGTTGATTTCATTTCATTACGTTTTACATTTCAGTCATCATTATCATCATCATCATCATCATTTTTTTTGTCAAGAGTTAAGTTCATTTTTATAATAGATGATGATGATGATGATGGTGGTTTTTTTTGCAGTCATCAAAACAAAATGACAACAACAACAACAAATGAAGACGAAGAAGACGACGACGATGATGAAAATTGGTATATGTGTGTAAGTGTTGTTTTGTTTTGAAGAAAATTTTTTTTCCACAAAAAAAGCTATATATCGTTGTTGTTGTTGTTGTTGTTTGTTATTTGTTCGTAAACACAAGCTGTATAGCAAAAAGAGAAATGAAGAAAAAAAAACAGGATCCATTCACAGTGCTGGTGGTGGTGGTGGTGGTGGTGGTAGTGGAAATCGATTTTTTCTTTTAAAAACAGAAGACGAATTTCGAAATAAAATACCAAAAAGAGAATGATGATAATGGGTTCGTTTGTAGTAGTAGCTCAAAAAAAAAAATCAATGATGAAATGTGAATGAAAAAAAAAAAAAATAACAAAAAAAAATTCAAGTTTCTCTTTCTCACTCATTCAGCTATATATGAATCGAAATGAGAAAGAGAGAGAGACAGAGAGTCATAGGATTTTGGATTTTTTATTCTTTTGTGTTTTGTTGG